GCTGTGTGTTCATGGCTGTGTGTTCATGGCTGTGTGTTCATGGCTGTGTGTTCATGGCTGTGTGTTCATCGCTGTGTGTTCATGGCTGTGTGTCGCTCTCTGTTCACAGTCTGTTCGACCGGAAGCTGGAGAAGAACCTAGAACAGTATCGAGCTGTAAAACACATCGTAGCTGGATCGTCCAAACCGGCCCCCTACCTGGTGTTCGGTCCACCTGGGACAGGTGCAGCACCTTTACTGCCGTTCTGTTTAAAGAACCCGTCAGCAACAATCATTAGCTCTACGAACTAAGATAATCCTTAATTAGGCCCACAGGGGGAACTCTAACAGTGGGAGTAATAATGAACGTTAGCTAAGGAAGCAAAGTCAGAGCTGTGATCCGGACCGAGCTAACGTTAGGCTACAAAGATTTAAACCTCAGTAACACGTCAGAGCTGATTCCTCATCAGAGAGAAGAGATTTTAAACTGTCCACACAGAATCACAGGATCATCAACATGAATTTTGAGATTTAAACAGATGATTTATGCTCCATGTCAGAGATGAAGTTTATCGACCTCTTCTGGTTCGTCTGTTCAGGTAAAACTGTGACTCTGGTGGAGGCCATCAAGCAGATAGAGAAGACTCAGGCCTCCTGCCACATCCTGGCCTGCGCTCCCTCCAACAGCGCTGCTGACCTGCTCTGCAGGAAGATCCTGGACCACGTGGGTAATTTTAAAGTGTACCGCATGTACGCCAGCAGCCGGGACCCAAAGTGTGTCCCTGAAGAGCTGAAGGTCAGTTATGTTGCACCTCCGCTCATCCACGCTGACGGAGCAGCTTCACTTGTCTCTGAGGTTTGAGTGAACGGATTCTCTGGTACTTTCAGATCTGCTCTAACGTGGTGGGCGACTGCTACGTCTTTCCTCCGAAAGAGAAGCTAATGGAGTTCAGGGTCATGGTCACCACCCTGGTAACAGCTGGGAGGTAGTGAGGGACTCACCTGCATGACGCTGACTCTGTTGTGGTATTCACTTCCTGTTTCCTCAACCCTCGACTCGTGTCTGGTCTCTGCAGGCTGGTCACAGGAGGAATTCCCGCCGGTCACTTCACTCACGTGTTTGTGGACGAGGCCGGACACGCTGTGGAGACCGAGTGTTTGATCCCGTTGGCAGGTAACGACACGCGACACGTGAGCGCGTTCTCTCAGGAACAGCTGGTGGGACCGAGCGCTCACCTGGACTGATTAGAATTTGAAGGTCAAAGGTCACCGTGAACTCACAAAATGCTTTTTACCGTAATTCAAAAGTTAATGAACTTTGAGACAAGTTTTAAGAAGTGTTGAATGAAATCATCAAAAACTGGATAAAGTCATGAAGCAACATGTAATATCAAACATTCATGTCACTGAGACTTCATGTTGTGTGAAAACTTGTCAAGTATTCATAGTATATATGTAGAGTATATATATGTATATATAGTATATGTGTATCTGTTTCCCTGCGTACAAAGGGCTGCTCCATGCACAGACGGGTCAGGTGGTTCTGGCTGGAGACCCCAAGCAGCTCGGACCCATCCTCAGGTCCCCGTTTGCTCTGAAATATGGAATGGGTGAGGACAGACACACACACACACACACACACACACACACACACACACACACACACACTCTCACTCACATTGAACCCATGGTTGTGTGTGTGTCTTTGCTGTCGGACGAGCTGAGTGTAAAGCTTCTGTCTGCAGGTGTTTCCCTGCTGCAGCGCATGATGAACGATTTCTCTCTGTACCAGAAACAGGACGACAAGTTCAACAGTCGCTTTGTCACCAAGCTGCTGTGTAACTACAGGTGAGACGGGGGACACACTGTGTGTGTCTGTTTTAAGCACTGACTCTGAATCTGTGTTCATCACGTGTGTCAGGTCCCATCCGTCCATCCTGAAGATTCCCAACGAGCTCTTCTACGACACAGAGCTGCAGTGTCACGCAGACGAGATGCTACGCAACTCCTACTGCAACTGGCCACACCTCCCTCAGCCCGTAATGACTCACACACACTGAGCAGCTGTCACAAACTTTATTCTAACACA